TTTTTGAAAATCAAGGTTGATAAATCTATTCATTCTCTGCTGGGAAATTGACCCTGAAGAGAAGATAGCATTAACCATTGACTTTTTAACACCATCTATAAACACGTCTAGGCTTCCCACAGTCATCCTACAAAGAAACATTGAAAGGTGCCTTTCAGTTATTCTAGTAGTGTCTGTGAAAAGAAGCCAAGTAGCCTTGGCCAAAAACACTTCAGGCTCTAAATACTGAAATCAACACTTTCAGAGGCTCTTGTGAAAAAGGTGACAGTCAGTGCAATCTCTTGGATGCTAATGGGATCTCTTCTTTACGTCTCTGACAAATTGGCAGCAAAGATACTTGACCGTCTTTTCTCGAAAAGCATGATTTATTAGGTGCCAGGATTATGGACTCATAGATTAGTAGAACTAAATAAAACCTTGGCGGTCCTAGGATCTTTGCCCAGCCCTCTAACCTACGTGTGAATCCTTATCAAAATATCCTTGACCACTGTTTATCTAGCTCTTGTCTGAATATATCCAGTGATGAGAAACTCACTGTCCAGCAAGGCAGTCCATTTCATTTCATAGTATCATAGAGCCTGTAGATCATAGAGCCAAACAGGAACTCAGAGGCTACATAGCCCAGCCCTCTTATTTTCTAGATCAAGAAACTGAAGCACTTTGGTGCCACATGACTTATCCAAGGTCACGCAGGTAGCAGTAGCAATAATAGGAATAATCATAATAATAACAATTTTATACATTGTGGTGGTTGTTATTGTTGTGTGTGTGCTGTGTGTGAATTGTCCTTCATTCTCAAAGAGGACCATGACATCAGGGAGATGATGACATGACTCGAAATTGACTTTGATTTGAGTGAGAGAGGGCTGTGCGAAGTCACCTTATAATCAAACCTTAAAGTGTTTGCAAAATAACAACCCTTGAAGGTGGGTATTTTATCATCATCATCATCATCACCATCCCCATTTTATAGATCAGGAAACTAAGGCAAACTGAGGCTAAGTAATTTTCCCAGAGTCACACACTAGTAAGTATCTGAGGCAGGATTTGAACATAGGTCTTCCTGTCTCCAAGTCCAGCGCTGTATCCACATCACCAATTAGCTGCCTAGTAAGCATCAGAAGCGGTATTTAAATCTAGGTCTTCTCATTCCAGAGACAGTGCTTTTTCCAGATCCTCCTTATGTTGAACAAAAGCTTCCTTTCTATAACATCTACCCAGTATTCTTTCACATGACTTCTATCCATTGGTCCTAAGGCTGCTAGTTGGTGCAGTAAATAGAGCAACAGACTTAGGTTTGAATCATGTCTTAGACACTAGCTAGCTGTATGACCCTGGACAAGTCACTTAATCTCTCTGAGCCTCAGTTTCATCATCTATAAAATGGTGTAATGGTATTTATCTCAGGATAAAATAAGGTAAAATATATAAAGTACTTTACAAACCTTAAAGTGCTGTTGTTATGATTATTAGTTCATGCTTCTAGGACCAAGCAACTAAATCTAATTTGTCTTCCATGCGACAGCTCTTCCAGTACTTGAAAATGTCCTTCATAGCTCCCCTGGCTTCTCTAGGGTAAATGTTCCTCATACTAGCAACTAGATGTCGTGTGACAGCTTCAGGTCCCCTCCTTCTCCTCTAGATATTCTTCAGCTTTTCAGTATCTTCCAGAAGGGTAAAATCCTGGCTTGTAAGGAACAGAAGCAGAGCTACACACTTGGACTCGACCCCAATGTTTATTAATAGCATAAAAACAACTGGTGGTGCACAGAAAAGATACAAGGACTCTCGTACTATCTGGTTTCATGGGTCACCCAGTTCTTAGCCAACCATCATGGCCCCTGAGATGCAGAAGTGGTAGGAATGCAGGTGAAAGATAGTTGGAAGAAAACCTTCCCTGCTTAGAAGGACAGGACAAGTCTGAGAAGCAACTTCAATTAGAGGTGGCACTGTTGTATACTCAGGGGAACAAAACACCACCAACCTAAAGTAAGCAGACTCCAAGGATTTTTTGAATGAATGAGAGAGGAAGGAAGGAAGGAAGGAAGGAAGGAAGGAAGGAAGGAAGGAAGGAAGGAAGGAAGGAAGGAAGGAAGGAAGGAAGGAAGGAAGGAAGGAAGGAAGGAAGGGAGAGAAGGATGGAAGGAAGGAAGGAAGGAAGGAAGGAAGGAAGGAAGGAAGGAAGGAAGGAAGGAAGGAAGGAAGGAAGGAAAGGGAGAGAGGGAAGGATGGAAGGAAGGAAGGAAGGAAGGAAGGAAGGAAGGAAGGAAGGAAGGAAGGAAGGAAGGAAGGAGGAGAGAAGGATGGAAGGAAGGAGGAGAGAGGAAGGAAGGAAGGAGAAAGGAAGGAAGGAAGGAAGGAAGGAAGGAAGGAAGAAGGAAGGAAGGAAGGAAGGAACTAAGGAAGGAAGGAAGGAAGGAAGGAACTAAGGAAGGAAGGAAGGAGGGAGAGAGAGAAGGAGAGAGGGAGGGAGAGAGGGAAGGAAGGAAGGAAGGAAGGAAGGAAGGAAGGAAGAGGGAGGAGAGAAGGAGGAGAAGAGGAAGGGAGGAAGGAAGGAGGCAGAGAAGGAAGGAAGGAAGGAAGGAAGGAAGGAAGGAGGCAGAGAAGGAAGGAAGGAAGGAAGGAAGGAAGGAAGGAAGGAAGGAAGGAAGGAAGGAAGGAAATATATAAGCTTTGCAAACCTCAAAGTGCTATTATTAAGATTATTAGTTTTTCCTTCTAGGACCAAGCAACTAAATCTAATCTGTGTTCCCTGTGACAGGACAGGAAAAGAATTTACAGCTAGGTCCCCATTAATGTGAATAATGAATCCTACTGAAGTGGTTGCATTATTCAAATTCATTCTGAATATTTCCATTGGGCTAGAGCCAGTTACCATATTTTACATATTTATGACTTTAAATATATGAATTCAGATGTATACAACCACTTCTAGAAATGCATTATTTGTTCTAATTGGGACCCAGATATTAGCACTAATTGGAACCTATATGTGTTAAGCACTTGCTATGCACCAAGCTTTATGTTGAGTACTAGGGTTACAAGTATAAAAGTAAATACAGTCCGTGCCCTATGCTAATAGAAGACCACACCAACAGTGTTTTGGTTTGGAAAGTTAAAGGGATGGTGATTGGAACCCTAGCTGAATAGATTGACACACAGTGGCAGCATTGATTTGATTGTGGCTCCAGGACTAGAAAAGTGGGAGCTTTGGAGGATACTGAATGGTAGCTTGGCACAAAGATGGCTGTGTAGTAAAATGAGACATGCCTGGAACTGCTTTAGATGCAGTGGACTATGTATGGTACTCATGGCATCAGGGCACCATTATGGAAGGTCCAGAGATGAAAAGGTTGATCCCTACAGGCCATAATGTCTGGGATGGACTGCAAGGAGGAAATTTCTCTCTGTACCACAGTTTCCTCATTTGTACAATGAGGGATTTAACTAGATCTCTCATGTCCAGTGAAGAAATCTGCAGAAAAATTCATTCTGAGATTGGGCTCTAAGTGCTGAGTAGCTGGGCATCCACTTGTGATGGAATTGGTTTCTATAGCTTGGGACTGTGATACAGCCCTCCCTAGCAACCCACCACTATGCTGTATTGGCCATGAGAAATAACACCTATAAAGTTTTTTAAAGTTTACAACATACTTACATCTAATGTCGCATTTGAGTAGGCTAGATGAGGGTAGAAAAGGCTTAGGAGAATTTTTTTTACTGCAGGGGCTGCAATCAGGTTTGTCAGTCATTCTACTTCTTTCTGCCTGTTCCCCCTCATTCCTATCTGGCAAGAGTCCCAATCTTGCCAGAGAACAAAAGTGTAGAGAACTAGCAGAAAGAGCACTGACTCTTGAGCCGTGAGACCCAAATTCAAATTCTACCTCTGTGTAATGGTATGGGAGTTATTTAACTTCCCTAGACTTCAGTTTTCTCTTCTGTAAAATAAGGTGATTGGAGTAGTTGACTCATGAGATTTCTTCCAACTGCAGACCCATGGTCCCAGCTGAAAATACCTTATATTTACTTTATTCTGTATATATTCATATGTGTACATACTATATCCTTCTATAGAATATAAATTCATTGAGAGTAAGTATTGTTTCATTTCTGTCCTCGTCTTCTCACAGCCTGACCTAGTTCCTAACACAGTGGGCAATTAATCAGATCAATTAATCCTTTGATCAGTTGATGTGGTCTGACCAAGCCAGACAGGGGTGGGGAACCTGAGGCCTCGAGGCCACATATGGCCCTCTAGGTCCTCAAGTGAGGCCCTTTGTCTGAATCCAAACTTCACAGAAAAAATGAAATACCCTTAATAAAAGGATTTGTTCTATAATACTTGGACTCAATCAAAAGGCCAAGCCCAAGGACCTAGAAGGCCACATGTGGCCTCTAGGCCTCAGGTTCCCTTCCCTGGTAGTATCTTTTCTCATTCTAGACACCATACTGCCCTTGATATATCCTAGGAACCTAATAGCTTTTTGGCAGCTACCCAGTGGAAGCTCTGTAATTTAATAAAAGGTGATGGAAACTTTTATTTATTTTTCTTTGTTTATCTGTTTGCTCATTCATGTTGATTCATTTATTTCTTCATTTGCCAAACAACAGAATTAGTCTCAGTGTTTCCTACCCAGCTCACCCCATCTTGACTTCATTAAACTCTCAAAACTACATGAAATATATTTCTTACTAAGCTTCTTCCTTCTTTTGTGACTGAAGACAGTCAGTCTTAGCAACTTGTGCCCCGGTTGCTTTTAAAATAACTTTAAATGTTTTGATGTGTTGCAGTTGTTTTTATAGACTTTGCTGTCATCCTAATAACTACTTCTCTTCCTCATAGAAATCTCTCTTATTCCAAAGGAAATAGTTAGGCAAAAACACACTCAAGGGACTCCCCATTACTTCAGGTGGTGGGGGCAGGAGGAAGTATTGGATTTTGGAGTCAGGGGCCCTCAGTTCAAATTCCAGCTTGAACAACCTGTCTCCTTCAATTTCAGGGAAGCAATGTGATGGAGGATCAGGATTTGTTGGAAATTGGTATCCTTAATTCTGGACACAGACAAAGAATTCTGCAGGCAATCCAGCTCCTTCCAAAGGTAAGAAGGTTTTCAATATGTAAATGCCAACCAAATACATCTTTTGGTGTTCTTAATACTAAAAAGAAAATTACCATGGTATCTGCCTTTTGAGCTAAATTTCCAATGGATACAAGTAGTTTTATATCCACAAAAACAAAAATCCTATACAAATCATTTCCCAGAAGAGCAAATGAAAACAGTACCCTGGTGTGCTGAAAGGGTCATTGTAGTTTTTGTAAACTTACACTTGGAGGCTAGTTCAGCCCACTCCCCATGTGCACCTAACTTGCTAGCTGGTATGTAGAACTTTTTGGAGTTGGTGAATGACTACCATCCCTTGAGGTCAGATGCAAAGGGCCTTTTTTAACTTTTAAACTGATTTTTTAAAAACTAACAAATGAATTTTCTCTCCTTCCCATCTCCCCTTCTCTTTAAGAGAGAGAGAAGAGAGAGAGAGAGAGAGAGAGAGAGAGAGAGAGAGAGAGAGTGTGTGTGTGTGTGTGTGAGAGAGAGAGAGAGAGAGAGAGAGAGAGAGAGAGGAGAGAGAGAAGAGAGAAAGAGAGAGAAAAGAGAGAGAGAGAGAGAGAGAGAGAGAGAGGAGAGAGAGAGGAGGGAGGGAAAGAGAGAGAGAGAGAGAACAGAGAGAGAGAGAGAGAGAGAGAGAGAGAGGGAGGGAAGAGAGAGAGAGAGAGAGAGAGAGAGAGAGAGAGAGAGAGAGAGAGAGAGAGAGTGTGTGTGTGTGGTGTGAGAGAGAGAGAGAGAGAGAGAGAGAGAGAGAGAGGGAAAGAGAGAGAGAGAGAGAAAGAGAGAGAAAGAGAGAGAGAGAGAGAGAGAGAGAGAGAGAGAGAGAGAGAAACCAAAATTCTTACAACACATATGTATAGATAGGCAAAACAAATGTCTGCATTGAGCATTAAAAGAGAAGTCTCAATTTGGCCTTGTAGTCTATCACTGTTCTATTAGGAGGTAGGTAGAATGTTTCTTCATGGATTTTCTAAAATCATGGGTGGTCATTGCATTAACCAAAGTTCTTAAGGCTTTCAAAGTTGTTTGTATTTACATTATTGTTATTGAATAAATTGTCTTGGTTCTGCTCATTTCACTCTGCATCAGTTGATACAAATATTCCCAGGTTTCTCTGGAACCTGCCTGATTTTTCAGATATGAAATAAACTTGATTATTGTGACATCAATCACGATGGCAGGGTTCTCTGAAGGCAATGATATATCATGATCTTACCTTGTATGGCTTTAGGGATGTGTGTTGAGGCACTTGGTGCTATCATAGGTACTCTCCTTTGGAAACAAAAATCTGAAAGATTCAGTTATGTCCATGATTAACCTAAATTATGCCAGATGAAATATACCTGGCAGCTCTCATGATTGCTCATTCTACCCTGGTATAAGGAGAGGAGGAGGGAGGGCTGGGGCCAGCTACTGGCAGACAGCTCACAAGTTCTGTTTCCTGAGTACACATACCAACTCCCCACCACCACTGCAAGTCTTATGGCGCCATGCACGTAGCCTCCAAACTCACCTGTTCTCTGTCTCTACCTCAGGCCATTCTCCTAATGTTAAGATGTTCTTAACATCTTTCTTATTCTCAGACTGCTCGCTACTGATGGAACAGAGCCATACAGAGCACTTTTTGCACCCAGGGCAACGTGTACCTGGGATAAGGAACGTGATATGTTCCCTCAAATGTGCTGCTGGGGAGTTCACCGTGGGAAGCTGGGCAACCAGGGAAGGGCTTGTCTGTAGAGCAGATGTCAGGGAAAAGAAGCAGACCATCTGGTAGCTTCTTATTTTAACAAATTATTCTTGCTAACTAGGTGCTGAGCTCAGGCAGTCTGACAGTGCTGATGGCCTGCAAGTGCTGTCAACAAACTTGAAATTTTGGGACTCCAGGAAGAAGTTTCTATTGCCTCCTCATAGATGCAGCTTAAAATCCTGGAACCACCAGGGCAGGCTCAATATTCCTGACCTCCACACTTATGTTCCATGTACTCTATACTCCTTTGCCAAAAGCATATCCATTACACACTCAAATGGCCCTTTCTTGGTTTTTTTAAATTAATATTTTAAATCATCAAGTATTTCTTTTTCTTATTCCTACCCCCATTGAAAAAAAAGTCAAATAAAATCCAAACCATTGTAACAAACATGAATAATCAGGGAAAAAATTACTATGTTGGCCATGTGTTAAAAATTGTGTCTCATCCTAAATCTAGTCCCTAACTTCTCTGTCACAGGGTAATTAGCATGTTTTATCATTATTACTCTGATTAGCATTCTTAAGTCTTTCAAAATTGTCCAATCTTACAGTACAACCATTGTCTTTTTCAAATTAAATTCTTTGAATTATGATGTATTTTTTTCTTCACCCCAACTGCCTTCTGTTGGGAAAAAAAATCAAAGAAAATGATAGCTGTTTTAACAAATAAGCAGTCAAGAAAAACAATTTACTACATTGGCCATATCTAAAAAAGTTATGCCTCATCCTAAATCTAGTCCCTGACTTCTCTGTTAGTGGGTATTTAGCATGTTTTATCATTAGTACTCTGATCAGCATTCTTAAGTCCTTCTAAATTGTCCAGTTTTACAGTGTGACCACTGCCTCTTTTTAAAATTAAATTCTTGAATTGTCAAGCATTTTTTTTGCTCACTCCAATTCCTACCCATTGGAAAAATAAAATAAAATCATAACTGTTTTTAACAAATATCCATAGTCAAGAAAAACAAATTGCCACATTGGTCATGTCTTAAAATGTGTCTCATTCTACATATTTAGTCCTCACCTCCTATCAGAAGGCAGATAGCATGTTTTAGCATTATTCTTCTGATCAGAGTTCTTGAGTCTTTCAAAATTGTCTTACCATACAGCCATTACCTCTCCTTTTCATGGTCTGGTGATTACTCTACCCAGGCAAGTTTCCCCCATCTCAAAGCCATGTACATCAGCCTCATGCCTACTTCCTGTGGTCACTAAAAATCTTCCCTTCCTTCTCATAAAATTTCACCTCAGGGGTGAGGTGTGCAGGGGTAAGCTTCTTCTGCAAGGAGCAGTATCTGTGTCTTTCTCTCCTTGGGACTGCCAAGCAGTGGGGAAAGAACTGAAGTACTCCTCAGCCTGGCTATTCACCCCACAATTGAACTTTCTTGTGTGTTTTGCCATCCTCAAATAAACTGTGAGCCCCTTGAGAGCAGAGACAGTCTCCCTTTTTCTCTGGGTATCCCCAGAGATAAGCACAGAGCTTGGCACACAGTAAACACTTAATAAATGCTTCTTTCTTATATTCATTCATTCTGACGATGGGACTACAGTTTGAATGAGCTCGCTAATTTTTGTGGTTCCAGAGATTTATATTTTAATCTGTCTAGATAATGCAGTAAATTCAAAATAAAATTTTTTAAGAATATCTATTAGTAAAATATATCCATGTAACAACTCTGTCCTGAGAAGTATCAGAGACAGAAACACCACCCTGAAATAAATTAAAATTTAAAAAAAATCCAGAAAAGACTAATGGTCATAAAGCAGAGCAATTAACATTTTTTTCTTTGCCATTAGCTTTAAAACCTTATTTCTGAACAAATCCTTTGACAGTGTCCAAGTTAGGGTACAATTTAAAATAGAACCGGTTCTCAGCCCCATACTGTTTAGCATTTTCATCAATTCCTTGGATAAAGGCAGAGATGGTATGCTCATCAGATTTGCAGATGAGAAAAAATGGGAGGCATAGCTGTAACACTGTACAGCAATCAGGATACAAAAAAAAAATCTTAACAGACTAGAATACCAAACCAAACTGAATTAGATGGAATTTAATAGGGATGACTGTAAAAGTTTTTGCTTAGGTTCAAGAAATTAAACTTCTCAAGGAGATGAAGGTAGAGGCATGGTTAAGAAGAAGTTTGAAAGTGATCTGGCAGTTAAAGTGGACTGCAAGCTTAATATGAGTCAGTTCAACAACCAAAATGGCCTCTCAAGAGAGAAAACTTCCTGGAAGGAACTGCCTTAAAATAGAATGGGCTGACTGCCTCAGGACCTGCTCATTACTTTAAGCAAAGGCTGGATAACCTCACTTGCTGGGTGTGTTGTAGATGGTGATTTTTCAGGTATAGACTGAACTAGATAGTCACTGAGCTCCTTTCCTACTCTGAAATTCTGCGATTCAGTGACCGTGTCTCATGTGAGCAGCTGCTTTGACTGGCATGGCCCCACTTCTGGTTTTCCTATAGTCTAGTGATGTCAAACTCACATAGAAAGTGAGACTGCTGGACTGTATGTAAGGATATCTTTTAGACTCATATTGACTTAGAAATCTACATATTAACATTCTCTGTGTTCTATTATATTTTTATTTATTTTGTTAACTATTTCCCAATTATATTTTCATCTGATTGAATCTGCATGCAAGAGGATTGTGGACAGTGTGGACTACAGGTCTCATATTTGACCCTCTGCTGTAGGCAGTCACAGCTGGCTTTGAATGGTACATAGGAAAAAAAATGTTGCTGAGCCAACTTCCTATGGGCAAAAACTTTTATACTTGCTATTTGTAACCATGCATATTCTGACAAACAGGACCAGACTCCTCCTCTTTCTTAACTCACTAAGTACTCAGCTCATCCCAGTGCTAAGTGAATAGCTATAGCTATAGAGGTAAGGAGAGTTTCTCTCTCTCTCTCTCTCTCTCTCTCTCTCTCTCTCTCTCTCTCTCTCTCTCTCTCTCTCTCTCTCTCTCTCTCTCTCCCCATCTCCGCCTGTCCCTCCCTCCTCCCTCTCTCCCCTTCTCTCCCCCCTTTCCCTCAAGGATTCAAACTAAAGTCATGAGCTCAAAAGATAGTACTTACCCTCCTGCCTTTGCTGTGATTCTCGACCAGAGAAAAAGAAATGGGGGGAAAAGACCATCTGGATTGACTTGTGCCTTGACTTGACTTGATATCTGTAGTTAATTATTCTCTATTTACCCCTTTATTTGACTCCATTTCAGAGTTGTCAGGAACCACAGAAA